TAAATTATTATTTAATAATAATAATAATATTAATAATAATTTAATAATAATATTTTATTTAATAAATTATTTAATAAATTTATTTTCAAATAAAATTCACAAAAATAAATTCTGTATCCAAAATTACATAAAAAGAAACATTTATTGAAAATAAAAATTAAATTACTATATTAAAAAAAAAATTATTGAAAAGTTGTCAAAAAAATTTGAAATCAATAAAAATAATTTTTAAAATATTTCGCAGCATAAAAAAATTTGTTAATCAAATGCATATTTTAACAATTTATATAGAAAACAATTTCATAATTGAAATTTACGAAAAAAATTTTATCTCTCATTTCGTTCCGCTCTAATGCATACGCGTAAATATTTATAGTTTATTAACTCTTTCTTTTAATTTTACTTCCTTCATTTGTAAAATTCATTTTTTTCTTTAAATTTTTATCTAATTTCAACTTATAATTCCTTGTTAAAATTACTAATTTTAATACTTATAGTATAATGCTCTATGATCATTTCATTTAATTTAATGGCATTAATATTTATAGTATAATGGTCTATGATCATTTCATTTAATTTTATATTTATTGGTTCCTGAAAGTTGGTGAGAAAGATCTCATCGGTGAAAGTATTTGTACAATGGGGATAAGTTGAAGGAAATATCGGTGGACCATGTTCTGCAATACATACATGTTCTGTCGATAAGCATAATCGGTATTGCGTGAGTGGTGAACTTAGCCGTTTTTCCAATCCTCCGGAATTCATGAAGCGTATCATGCCACGCGCGAGTCCGCCTCGTGCATTCCTATCAGATGGATCCATGTAGTTGAAAGTACGCCAGGAATGCAGAGGAAGTTGACATGTTTGGCCTGCTGGAAGTTCCGGTTTCTGGTGAATGTAAGACGGAAATTTTGTAGTTGAACATATTTCTAGAAGATGGAATCGGCTGTTTGTAAGTGGATGTATTTTTCGTTATAAAGAAGAATAATTGGAAATTGATTAAGATTTCTTATTTTAAAAGGTAGATTATTTTGGATAAATATAAGAGAATTTGTAATGAATTTGTATTGAATTTGTAATATATGAGAATTTTGTAATTGTTTATTATATATCTCATATCCAATTATTACTATTGGAAATATTTATATCCCATAAACATTTCAATATTGCTAAAAATACTTACATTTTAATGTTCAATATTATTATGTATTTATATTTATATACTTTTAAAAATTATTTTTAAGTTCAATTTTATGACAAATTTCATAAGATATAAATACTTTTATTATTTATAATCTTTATTAGAATAAATATGGTAATATCATATGGTATAATCAATAGGCCAAATTTTTATAATATTATTTATCTTAGAGATACTGCTTCTATGTAACATTAATAAATTTGTTTTTTAATATTTAATTTAATGTAATTTATGTTAGCTCAATTAAAAATACTGTAGTATTAATAATGTAATATTAATATAATATATAATATATAATATAAATGTATTTTCTTGTATTTCATAAAATATAGTTAAAATAAAAAGTGAATTTATATTTTATTAGATAAAAATGATTCATTATAAAACATTATCAGATACATGTTATTCAAATTGTGACAAAAAAAGAAACAATATTTATATATTTTTTAATTCCATTTTACATTATAGCAATCATTAAAAAGACATATATTTGTATTTATAAAAAAAGACAATGCCAGATTAAAATCGATTTTTTGTACCTTAATATATCATTTGTTATGAAGAAAAATTATTTTTAATTGATTTTTATATAATTTTTATAATTTTTTATTTTAATAAGAATTTTAAAGAATAATAGATTGCATTGGATGAAAATAAAAAATTTTATAATTGAACTTATTTCTAGAGAATAGAATCAACTCTTTATAAGTGGATGTACTTTTTATTATGGAAAAAAAATTTTTTTTATTAAATTTTTTATTAAAGAATTTTTATTTTAGTGAAAATGTCAAAAAGATAAAATAGATAAATATGAAATAGAAATTCTATAGTTAAAATTGTTTTTTAGCAAAAATCAAAATCAATTTTTCAAAACTTTC